GAGCCGATAAAAATGTTTTTAACTAGATTTGCCGCCTATGACTCAAGTGGCTAAGGTGCCAGCCACATACACCAGAGCTGGTGGGTTTGTATCCAGCCTGGGCCTGCCAGACAACAATGACAACTGCAACCGAAGAATAATCAGGCATTGTGGGAGGCGTCTGTGGTCCCAGCTACTTGGGAGGCTGAGAATCATTAAGTCCAGGATTTGGAGGTTGCTGTGAGCTGTGATGCCACGGCACTCTACCCAGGGCGACAACTTGAGGCTCTGTCTCAAAAGAAAAAAAAAGTTTTTAACTAAATGAAAAGGGGTCCAGAACAAAAGTAGTTTCTAGTTTTTTTGACCTAGAAAGATAAGACCTGCCACTCTCTGCTAGTCAAGCCATCATGGGTACACTTCACTGTGGACAGATGGCATTAGTGAAAAGGAATGTGGGACCTTTGGGATTGTGACCTCCAGGAAAGTTTATTGGAAGGGAGAAGAGATCTTATGATGAGGGTTCAAACAGAAGCCTCCAGGTCTTTGGAGAGCATGCAGAGTGGAAAATTGGCCCCTTTTTCCCTAGCACTTGGCCAGGGCTTCCAACTGCTTGGGAGGTGTAGCTGAGGAAGTAGTAAAGAGGTAGTTCTTACCTGTTTGCTGTGAATTTTAATGCACTAGAACCTGAGCCTTACTGAGGTGAGAGCATGAAATGGAGCTCATAGATCTGCAGTGCTGATGAATAAACCTCACTAAGATTCCAACTGCCTGAAGCCCAAATTGGAATAACCAGACCTCTTAAACATCTTTACTGTAAAAACCAATTTTTTAGCATGTCCAGTTTGTAATTCTGTTTAGTGTGATGAGGCCTTCACTATTTTGCTGAAAGTAACTCCTTGATATTTGATTCAGTGGTTATAGGCACCTTTGGAGGATCCCATGCTCTCTGCTCTCAGGGCTTCATGATTGTTGTCTGGAGTGAAAGTGAATCCATTTTAGCATCTTTAGAGAGCTGTGGAGACCCTGCCCCAAGAAATAACCACACTTAGTTTTCTCTGCTTTCCTTGCCTCCCTTTCTTTTCTCTCTTTTCTCATCTTTCTCTTTTTTCCTTCTTTCCTTTTCATTTTTCCTTCCTTCCCTCCCTCCTTCAACATGATCTCACTGTCACCCAGGTTGGAGTCCAGTGGCACCATCATAGCTCACAACAACCTAAGACTCCTGGGCTCAAGCAGTCCTCCTGCTTTAGCTTCCCTAAGTACCGGGGTCTGTAGATGTGTGCCACCATGCCTACCTAATTTTTCTGTTTTTAGTAGAGACAGGGTCTTGCTCTTGCTTAGTCTGGTCTTAAACTCCTGACCTGAAGAGATCCTCCCATCTCAGCCTCCCAAAGTGCTGGGATTACAAGCATGAGCCACTGTACCTGCTTACCCCTTCTCTTGATAATTTCAAGTGGTCTGGAAAATAGGCTCAGTTCTAGAGCTCCTGGAAAAATTGTTAAGCTTAAAAGGTGAGAAGCTAGGATCTTCCTTAGAGACACTAGTCAGCTATAGTAAAACTGAGAGAAACTTAAAATCTTGCTGGCCCATGAAAATGTTCAAGTAATAGTTTGGGACTTAATTTTTTTTTTTTTTTTTTTTGGATACACCACTTTGTCTCAAAAAAGGATGACACTTTTTTTGAGACATCAAAAAAAATTGGTAGAGTGTCATGGTATCATAGCTCACAGCAACCTCAAACTCCTGGGCTCAAGCAATTCTCTTGCCTCAGCCTCCTGAGTAGCTGAGACTACAGGTACCCGCCACAAAGCCCAGCTATTTTTAGAGATGGGGGAAGGGAGTTCTTGCTCTGGCTTAGGCTGGTCTTAAATATGTGAGCTCAGATAGTCCACCTGCCTTGGCCTCCCGCAGTGCTAGGAGTCAGCAGATAGGCCCAGCTGGGACTTAATTTTTTTTTAGTAGACTATGTGTTGTATAATAAGCGTCTTACTAAGCTCAAAATACTTAAAAAGTTTAAATGTGGATCATCCATATAAATAGCCAATGAAGGAAAAAGGGTAAACCAAAAATAGACCCTCTCTGCACTCCTGAATCATTTTGCTGGGCGGATGACAGTCTGTGCCTAATTCTTATGTCATTGCATCAGTAAGTGGCATACCCAGGTGGAGGAAGACTTTGAGTCTGTTGGAGTTCTGAGCTCTCTGTTGTGCTGGCCTGCTTGTCCTCTCGAGGACACTGACTGGGCTGTGGTCTCAGTATTTACATAGCTTCTTGCCTTCATGTGAAGATTTTAGGACCTTAACAAAGTTTCCACCAGCCATTTGGCATCCTACACAGGGAGATACTCAGTTTCATAGCTGTGGCCTTTGGAGGTGGCTGATGGCCTTGACACAATTCCAGGGTGGCTTTGATGGTGGTTTTCACATTAAGAATTTGTCCCTTGGGTGGTATCTATGGCTCAGTGAGTAGGGCACCAGTCCCATATACCGAAGGTGGTGCGTTCAAACCCAGCCCCTGCCAAATTGCAATAACAACAAAAAAAAATAGCTGGGTGTTGTGGCGGGCACCTGTGGTCCCAAATACTTAGGAGGCTGAGGCAAGAGAATCACCTATGCCCAGGAGTTGGAGGTTGCTGTGAGCTATGACGCTATAGCACTCTACTAAGGGTGACGAAGTGAGATGCTGTCTCTAAAAAAAAAAAAAAAAAAAATTATCCCTTTAAAAAAAAAAAGGGGGCCCTGTGCAGTGGTTCACTCCTGTAATCCTAACACTCTGGGAGCTGAGGTACGTGGATAGCTTGAGCTCATGAGTTTGAGACTAGCATGAGCAAGAGTGAGACCCCATCTCTACTAAAAGTAGAAAAATGGAGGCAAGAAGATCTCTTGAGCCAGGACTTGGAGGTTGCTGTGAGCTATGACACCACTGCACTCTACCCAGGGCAACAGCTTGAGACTCTGTCTCAAGAGAATTTGTCCCTAAAGAAGCAGCACAAACACTATGTGGGAATGAATTTTTATGATTTGTATTCTTGTGGGCTTTTTTCTTTTAAGATGTTTTCAAACTGCAGTAAACAGTCAATCTATAAGACCATCGAAAGTAAGGCCCAGGAGTGTTTTCAAGAACGCAGCAACAAGGTGTGCGGGAATTCGAGGGTGGATGAAGGCGAGGAGTGTGATCCCGGCATCATGTACCTGAACAATGACTCCTGCTGCAACAGTGACTGCACTCTGAGGGAGGGCGTGCAGTGCAGGTGAGATGGCTGTGACAGGCCTTACAATGCAGGTGAGGGTGGCTGTGACGGGGCGTGCAGTGCAGGTGAGATGGCTGTGACAGGCCTTACAATGCAGGTGAGGGTGGCTGTGGCAGGGCATGCAGTGCAAGTGAGGGTGGCTGTGACAGGGCATGCAGTGCAGGTGAGGGTGGCTGTGACGGGGCGTGCAGTGCAGGTGA